GCACCCGCCTTTGGTAGTTATCCCGTTGATTGAGGCTATTTATTGCTGCTTCGTCACAACCCCCCCCCTCTCTGGCCCTTTGGCCTCGTCCGCCCACGCTTGCCCTTCCACCTGTGCGGCCCTCGCTGCTTCCCCACCCACCCGCCGGTCCCCATCCCTGCGTTTGCTCTAGCCACCTGGCTTTTCCAGGTGGCTTCCTGGGCGCTGTGCCTACTTTGTTCCACTTGGGGATCCATGCTTCTGCCCCCCCCCGGGCGGCGGGGTGGGGTGCTGAGTGTGGAGGCAGCGTAAGGGGGCCCCGGGATCCTCCCCGCTTGCCTTCCCCAGCACGTTTCTCCTCCTCCAGGTGTGTTGGGCGACATCCCCCTCCGTCCCATAGGCTGTGGCACTGAATTGCAGGCCACCCAATTTTTGGAGGGCCAGGTGTGTGCGCGCATGTAGCTTTTCTAGCTCATATTATGGCGTGTATGTGGGGGTGGGGGTGTTATGGCAGAGAGTTTTTTCTGGGTGGCTTAGGGAGGACATCCAGGACATCCTCCCTGTGTCTTTCCCCTTGTTTAAAGGCAGGTGAGTTTGTTGCCATACAGCTGAGTCATGCGGCTGCCTTATTAGACCACAGTGAGGTTCCAGAAGGAGATACATACCTGGTGCAATGGCTCTTCTTAATTATTATTATTTTTTTCAAACCAGCTCACATAGATTGGCGGCCTAGCTTACATAGGGCAGAGCTGCGTGGGCCTCGGATTGTGCTGTTGTTTCATTTTGCGACAAGTTTCTCTGCATTCCAAGGTTGAGCGAGGGACCAGCTTTCAAGATCCGTTCAGGAATCTCGGCTAGTACAGTTTCTGAACTTTGATTTACGCCCCTCGTGCAGGCATTTATGTGTGCAAATGCACCCCCTTGCTGCTTTTGGAGGGAGGTGATCTTAGAAGGAAAGTAGCTTTTAAAGTTCTCGGGTTGTGTAGATTACACTTTCCAAATAGAAACATTCTTCTTGCAGAGTGCCTACTCAGGGCCTTCATGTGGGTTTCCGTGGGTGCTTAAACTGCTAAATATTTGAACATATGAGGCCACTAATTCATTGTAGTTGGCTGCAAATGGCAGCCACCATTTAAAGGCTTGCTTCCCCCCTCCTCCCACAGATCTTTATTTAAAGTGGCAGTTCTTGAGATACAACTTGCACTGGTGCGTTGAGCATGGTCTAGGATTGGAGCCTTTGCTTTTACAAAGAGTTAATGAGAAACATGCCCCTAAATGAAGAAGAGGAAAAGTGTGGCCCCGGCACTGTTGTGCTCCACCACCATCCTCTAGCTAGTGTTGTGGCCCCTGTCCCATCAGACTTCCCTAACCCTACCCTGCAAGAAAGTTTTTTCCCCCCTACAGATTTGGTGGTAGGGATGGGTGACTGATCTTTGGAAACTTCCAGGACCAGTGATTTGCATCTCAAATGGTTAGAGGCTTGCATCTCAAATGGGTTAATGCATATGAACTGCCCAGGTTTTCATGGCTTCTTTCAACCCCCCCCCCCC